GCTAATGACTGAAAGTTGAATTACTTCTGCCCGTACTGAGGCGCCATTACTAGTGATAGGATACTGTCCGTACATGATCTCAAAAGCACTGATTTTGACATAAGCTTGACACCATATTTGATCAAGAAAATATATTTTGAATTTATGATGAAGATACTACTGAAATAGGGTCACGCAACATTGGTTGGCTTGCCTAGTGTTTTCGCGAGAAAGAAGCACTAATCTTAGTTTATAAACAATGAGTTGCAAGAATTACAGATTTTGGATACCAAAAATCCGACATTACTAGCTTCCAGATGTGAACACATGTGGGACTGAAAATGACTTAAAATGGCCTCCATATTTAGAACAATATAAGTAACATTTTATTGAGACTTAAAAGGATGTCTTCTGTGCTGGCGTTTGATGTGAGGGATTTTAAAGGTACAGTCGATCATAACTGTCACTTGTTGTTTAGTTTTCTGTGAATTGCTCGCCTGAAATTGCAAACAAAACATACAAATGTGCATTTTGTGCTAACAGATAGAGTGAAGTTAGGGCAACTTGATGGGTGCAACTTACTGTCAAAATGATTGCGCAGGTGTGCAGTGAAACGACGGGAAAATGATAGTGCATTTGTTTAAAAAATCTCACCTTTTTCGTACACTTTTTCATCCAGATGAACTCGCAGCAGTGAGGCTGTTCTCAAAATGCGTAAAATATGCCACTCATCATTGGCCACTTGATCTGGGATGTTCAGCCTCTGAAAGGTAGAGTAATTTCCTATTTCTTTTAAATTTTACCAGCAAATAGAATCGGGCTAACGTTAAAGCTCTACAAAACTGCTGTTTAGATTGTTCTGCACCTCATTTTGACTGAAACGGTTTATATTAAATTGGGCCTTGCTTTCCCACCTACTCGATTAGAAGTAAGCGTTTGTAGGCTCATTTCTACAAGTGATACAAATCCCTTGTCAAAACAGTTATTATAAAATAAAGCGAAAACTGCCAGTAATTCTGAGGTTTATAATGTAAAAGAAAGATGCGAGAATTCGCAAGTAGTCGTAGCTGACCCGAGTCCCCTTTGATTCAAAGGAGAATATGTCAGTGTGATAAAGTCGTGGTATAACTCAGAACCCTGAAAACTTCGAAGCTAGGCTCAACTATTTTGTCTACTAATTTTGACAGAGAATGTTCCATAATACCACTTGATATTGTGAGTGAAGGATAGCGTCCAAGAAGTCTACCTCTAGTGATAGTTATAAACTGAAACCTCTGTGGTGATTTAATGAAATAAACCAGCGAAATTTCAACCTCTTTCCATAGGGCTATCAAATTATAGTCATCATTCATTCCTTTATCTGACGTTGACATTTTACCTATCATTATCAACAGCCTTGATTAAAATTTTCACGAGTTCTTTGTGGTCACACTTAAGAATACGATACTCGTGTGAAGAACATAACTTGCATATTCGTTGGGAACAAGGGATTTGAACACGTAAACAGGTAGGTCCGTTTGACCTGCTTATCATTAAGGTTAAGTGTGAGAGTTGGCATTACGGTGTGAAGGCAAAGTGAAAAAGACTAATGTCACACACTTTTGTAGGATAGAGGCTGTATCGGATCATCAATCCATCTAGGCATACGTATGCATTGGGAAAGAATGTCCACTGCCATAGAGTGATTTATGTTTAATACGATTTGATCTAGCACTTCAGCAGCAATGCCAAGTGTAACAGATGAAAGCGAACCTTTCAACGAATTGTTTATTTAAGCAAAGAAGAATATGTGGTAATTTATTCAAGTGACTAACATATTCTCGACCGTCCAGCATCACCATAACTCCTAGGCATCCTTTTATAAGATCGACGCTCATTCCATCAGGCTGAATGACATTGAAAAACTTCATCTTGAGGGAGAAGGAACCCTGTGAATAGGAGGAAAGGAGGGTAGCATTACGAGTCCGCGTTTTGAAGGCGAACTGAACCTCCGTCGCTTCAAGTCGATGAGGTAAGAGAAATCGTAATCGTAGCTGGTGCTCTTTGTCGAAGTCTAGGATTTTGGCGGCTAAAAATAAGGAGAAAATGAAGTTTCTCTGAATGAGCTCTGCTGTCACAAATTAACCTTAAATCTTTCATGGGTGATCGAAAACAAAATTCTAATATTCGTTAAATTTTGTGTCTGTAAGACCAATGTCACGGTCATGTACTTCTTTTCTCTTTGCAAAATTCTGCGTAATATAACATTAAACTCTCCTATGCTGGTCAGAAACAAGAAAAACTTTCATGGTACTCAATGTGGGCTAGTTCTTTAAAAGTTTCAATGCTTGCGTCTGGATGTGTTTGCAATTACTACAGAGCAACTCGTCTTTTGCGCAGTTAGGAGCTCCACCCTCTCAGTGCTTATAGTGGCAACCTTTGTGAACGAGGAACCTCTACACACATCAATCAAACACCTTACTGGAGCCAAAATCCCATCACTGTATCATACTTTAGTTTCCCTTAATAGGTAGAGACCTGCGGACTTTACATCTTTGTTTACAACAAGCTCAGCTTAATAAGTTCACTATCGCCATTTCCTGTCATTCTAATTAATGGTGTTCTGAATGATTCATAACATTCGTATTGGTCATAAACATTTATGCACAACCGCCATCTTTTGAGTGTAGAAACGTCATGGAGGCATCCCACTCTACGTCTGCAAAACTACCTTAAGCACCTCTTATTCAATCGGATCCATAATTATGGATTCACCCATCGCGGTGCCTCTAAAATAGAGGTTTTCCTAGATATTTCCAGGAAAGTATTCTTGACTTCCATCAAAAGTGGCAATCGAGAAGGACTGTTAGTGATTGTAAGTTAAAGAAAATCACTACTATTCACAGAAAGAAAGAGTTTGGGAACTGTGCGGCATCCTGCTCTCATTCATCCCGAACAATTTTGCCCATTCCTCAGAGGACTGTTGAGGCTCGCAAGCACAAGATACGTTCTGATGACTATCACTCAAGAAAAAGTGGACTTTTATTGCTGTGAACAGACTAAAATGCCTACCAAATGCGAAATAATTCGACTTTGTTAATTTATAAGGCTCTATAAAAGAGGCAACATCTACTCCTTTACATTGTTTTGAATGTCAGCCATCAGTGGAAACGCAGCGCAGTACAGTTCAATGCAATTGGTACTGGTGATGGAGAGCATTCATGCCCTGTTCCCATAAATATACCAAGACCCTTTATGAGGACCCTCTATTGCCTGCTTAATTATTAAGAGAAATGCCTTGATCCTCATTACTTTGCAACAAGAAATAGCCATTTCACAATCTTCCCGGTTGCACTACCCAGGTTTTAAACAGAGGGTTACAATTTCCTCGTGAATACCTCTCGGTTATTTGAGACAAAACAGAGAAACTGATTCTATTTTCATAAAATAAAACCGAATAAATCCCACAAAGTTATTACGAACTTACCTCCGTAAATACTTCGTACATCCAAATCAGCAGTTTTAATGCATACATGAGGTGTGTGTGTTTTAGCCGCAAAAGGGGATGAAAATTTCTTAGGGGGCAAGCATGATTATGTCAATTTGCATGTTGGTTTTTAGACATGCAACTGCGGAAAAACTGCAAAGAGTATCGTATTAACTGGAACGAAATGAATTATTAGTGAGTATTGACAATGCCTGTCCAACCATTCATGCAGCGTAGGTGAAGGCACAAAAAACAGACCTAATTGACGCTAATGAAATGGAATACAGAAGTCTACTTTTATCGAGAGTGAACACAACGGAGGCAAAGCTTTTGGGTAGTAATACTATGGAAGCGTGTCTGTTTTTAAAAGCTAAATAGGCAAAGTGGGGAACTTTTGAGGTTCTTCGATGTTATCTTGTTGAACCGGTAACTAAAGCGGTGACTTAAGCATCTCAGGTAAGTTTAATTATGTCTTCGACATGAACTTCTTGTAACTTATTCCTTTATTTTCTTATCTAGAATCTTTTACGGAACAAGTTCATCCTTTTGGGGAAAAAGAGGTATTATGTTTTCAAATTCTTGCCGTTTTACCTGCCGCCAAAATTACATCAGGTGTCTGATTTCTGGCGATAAAATTTGCAATATTGAGTTACACTTGATGCCGTTTGAAACAAAATATCTTCAACCGAAAGAAGAGTTTCACAAGCAATTTAAACAGATTGGAATTAAAATCCTCCAAATCCGAGCAAAAGATCGCACTTTAATTAATCATTTGTGCACTTTTAATTTCCATTAGGGCTACTATATTTAAAGGGAGGAGTAAACTCACGAATGTGACAAAATTCTCCACTGAACGCTGTCGCCAAACAGTTGCATTCTCCGTCCACACAAGTTCCACCATTTTGACAGATGCAATTCCCTCGGGGTCTGCATCCAGCTTGAAGTTGTTGATCCCTTTTCAAGGGTCGATGCCTAAGACGCGAGCGTATTATTGGCTCGAAGTCGACCACCTCTCCGTTCAGTTTGAGACTAATGTAAAAAATAAGAATTTAAAGGTATTAATAACAGGGTCGAAGCAAATACAAACTTTGCTTCTTTCTGAACCAAAGGAACTTGGTGTAGGTACCATGACAAATGCTTTTGTCTGACAGAAGGGTAATTTGGATGCCAACTTTCGGGCAAGAGACGGCAAGTCAGTACGATCCTCGTGACAGATGGAACACCATCAGCACCCAAGGAGAAGGAAGCGTACATTAAACACGCAAAAACTGTAATGCTTCATTAGCCTTTACTCATCTCTACCCAATGCAGCATATTCTTGTCCATCTTGTTTAGTCGTTCCGATGGTGTAAAAGAAGAGGTGGAAGAGAGATTAAACACCAAGTCTTTACCACTTTATTGGATATTAATACCAAATGCCTCTAAAACTGTAAAAATAGAGGCCATCAGGCTCAAACGCGAAGAGGTTATCAAATAATCACTAGGATATGACCATCAAACCAGGATTGTTGCTTCTGTTTTCTCCGATATATCTCTACTTAGATGAGTTGAAACCGTTTGGAATGGCGCCGTTTCCCAAACGCTTCTGAGAGCATCAAAACGCCAGAGGAAGGTGGGTATTGGCCTCTTTCAGCTTAGCAAAGAATCTAACAGCACTTCAAGTTGTATCCTTTGTGTAGACTGTTTCCAAACTTATGATTGACAGATTGTCAGATCATGGCTGATTTCAAGAGCATCAATTACACCAAAGCTCTAGAGTAAAGAAGCAAATATAAGTTTTCTCTACATGACAAAAAATGGCAAATTTTCATAGTAAAGCAAATCTTTAAGTAAGAGTTTTACGAGAGCACTTTGCTGAACCACATAGCTGAAGAAATCAGTTGCTTCGTATGCTTCACTGTGCTTTCAGCTTTTCAGTTAAAGAGGGGATTGCGTTGACATTTCACACTGACACATGGAACAGCCTTTAGGCCAAAAGTTTCGACACGAAAGTCGCTCAACAGCTTAATATTGCAAAACTTATTACTTCCGCCACTTTCATATGAGAAAGAAGGCATATACGCAGTCAAGACTTGAGCACTGACTCCTCGCGCATTACAAATCATAAAGTGAATTAACTGTCATACCAACTTGGCATGTTTGTAGGATACTTCGCTGGTGTTCTGCAACAAACGTAACTTATTCACATTGTCCACTTCAAATTGAGGTTAATCAAAATGTTTTCAAATACTGGGAAGAGAATCTAAGTGGATCTCGCATTTGCAAGCAGCAAAGATGGAAGTGGTTAGTAAGAAATACCAAAACCAGCGACCCTGTATCAATCCCAAACACCGGATTTTCTCCTACATAAAAGAATTTTGGCAGATCCTCCCAACCATTACAATAAGAAGCAAATGAGGCATAAGGTTTATTGAATGGTAGTGTTTTTGCTTTCATAAAAAGTAGCGGATTGGGGTAACGGTGACTACCAAGGATAGTGCGATTTTATACAGAGCTCTGTAAAGCTGATTTTCATCAGTGTGTTTACTAGTGTGTTGTTATCAGTAAATTTCCACCTTTTACTACACTCTTAATCATAAGCAATCCTAAAGAATGTGAAATGAGGCACTTACCAACTTGGGAGAAAAGGTAATTTATTCTGCTGCCCTTTCGTGACGTTTGTCGGAACCATTTAAAAATGAGACAATTTATTGCTTACTGTTAACGCTTGTCGTCATAGAAACCGTTTGTAGACAGAGAAATTAGAGAATAAAGCATTTTGCAGCGATCTGAGATTAAGTGAATACGTCCCTTTTAGTGGGATGCCAGAGGCGTGACTAGCCTGCAAAATCGCTAGGAGAGTTTGCAAGGTATCGCTATCGTTTTGCATTGTGTGGACAAATTGAGAACAGTTGCAAAGAAGCCCTGATGGAGAAGTTTGCAGAACCATAAAATAAAAATATACAAGTGGATTAGTATCCTCGGAAAAATATAAAAGTTGAGGTATTACCAACTAATAGCAAGGAGGGAAGATTGAGGTAAATTCTCAAGTCATACTAAAAGAGGTTACGAGTCTAAACTCGTTATCGAGTGGTCTTGCTTGAACTAATTTTTTTGCTAATTTTGAAGGTAATTTGAAATGATTTTTTATTTATGCTGCATAAAATTTTGTATCACGCAAGACTGGTGAGTCAGTACATCCACGGACTTCCGAATTTAGTAGCTCGAACCGACGGTACTGTGAAACCGAACGCCAAGGGATAGAACTCTTGGTCACAACAACTGCCAACAGTAAAATATCTCTCCAAAACTGCCTTACCAAACAGGTTAATCTTTGTTTTACCATCGATTAGGTTTAAAATAAATGTAATGCCTAAACACTTTGTTCACTTCTTTGATCTGACAGCCTACATCTATCTGCCAACAGTGAATAGCTAAAAAAACCTTAGAGTTCTTAAATGGTTTATTTGGCCATTTCAAAAAGTAAATCACTAATGTCAGAAAATTAGATAACGTTGGAATAAATAGGAAACAAAGCTTTACATCTCGCACTTTGCTTATGCAGTTCTACCTGTCAATTTTAAAGGCCTCTCATTTGCCGTTCTTATTTTTGTGCCAAGGTACATGGGTCAGTCTAAACGCTTAAATCATAAATCTATTCCTGGCAGTCAAAAAATGTAAATATGGAAACGTTTTCTAAAAAAAATCAAAAAATAACAGCTATTCATGAACATATTTGGCGCCAGCATGAACAGAAGCTTGAAGGTGTCTGTTGGGTGGCAAAGCCTGTTCCACTCCCCTTAAAATACCAAAATTTTTTCAAAATTTAGCCCGTATTTGCTCTTTAAAATAAAACTGCACTTTATGGATAACTTATCCTGTTAGCGAGAAGTATGCAAGGCAGATTATATCGGCCAGAAGTAGAAGGCTGAATGCCTAATTAATTACTGAGACGTTAATAAATTGTTAATAGACAAAATAAATATTTCTTATGGTTACGTTCATCCCTATTGGCTAAGAGCTTGATGACACAAAAAGTTGGCCTGTCAGCATAGGAAACAAACATAATGAAATGTCAAGAGGGCCTAGGCTTTAAGGGTGTCAAAGCCATCTTCATACAAATGCTGCTAACTGATTTGCTTGACTAAAGTTTTATAAAAGATGTCAAAACAGTTAGGTGGGGGATTTCGTTAAAAGTGTATTTTTAAGCTGCATATCGCGCGTCTGCTTCAGGCCCTAATTTCTGTGCTTGTTAGCCCAGTGTCCTCTCCGCCTTCATTGAGCGTCATTTAAGAAGGAGCATTTTTTAACACCCTGTCATTCACCAAGTCCATGTTCTCATTAAAATAGATACTTATCTAATCTCTTGAGTGAGTCTGACAAGTTTTAATGAAAGTACTGCTCATTGAGGTGGTATCTGTTATGAAGGGTATCGGACATAAAATTGAACCTCCTCATTTGACATGAGAAAGCAGATGAGGAGTGTTCGGAAAGAAGTTCACCTTATTTATTCTTAGGGTGGATTTCGCCACCAATGAATAAGAGGATAATACGTTATTAGTGATCACCATAACTAATTATGAATCAAAGTTACAGCACAATACAGACTTGATAAATTCATTGGTAAAATCACTTTGTCTCTACGTTTCACAATTTAATTTCGTTATAAAGAATTACAGACGATTCGCAGGAAGAGGAGGCAGGTGAACTATGATCTAGAAATTTTGGTGAGATTAGTGGTAATCATTTGTTTGAGCATGAAAAAAGTAGCACAAATTGCATAAGGATGGGAATATTTTTAATGACATTACACATGATTCAGTGCGCGTTCAAATTTGTTTGCTAAAATGTTTTTCCACATTTTTTGATGGTACTGAAGCCAGAGGGCGCGTCGAGCATGCACCACTGTCTAGCTAGCCGGTTGTCCTTTAAAAATCGTCATAGGTTCCCAAAAAAATTGGGGACTTGCGAATTCTAAAAAATTGGTATTAAAGGCCAATAAACGCCCCCGTGCACTTCGGGAATGCATAAAATTTTGTTGGTAGGTTCATTTATGAGTGAAATGAAAAGTCCGAAGTCGATTCTCTTGGCGTGATTAATACAGTGCACTTCAGAAATCTCACCACAGCCAAGCCCAAGGGAAATGAAGAAAAACACTTCAGAGCTCAATCCTAAATGGACAAAAGCGGCGATTTTAGAGGATAAAGTTCTGCAGCAAAGGTTGAGGATTGCACAGAAAAGGTAGAGGATTAGGCTTGAAATGGATTTGATTAATAAAGTGTCCAGAAATCTTATAAACCGAAATCGGTATGCTAAACTACACAGAAGATGCCAGTCTCGACAAAGTTACCAAAAGAAGGAGCAGAGCTACAGACATCGTGAACGCCTTATTTTATCAAGTCTTGGGTGGAGTGCTAATCATAAATATTTGGCGAAACTAAAACAAACTGAATCCTTGCCATCAAACTTCTCAAAAGCACGAGTGCCATAGAAAGTGAGTAGCATTAATTAGTAATCAACTGACATAATTGTGGAGCAAAGGCAAGATTCAAGCACTAAGGAAGACCGGTGAAGTTGTGAAATGTGTTTGCTTAGAAGAGTTCCACATTCCTCCTACGGTAAGGGGGCACTTTAAAAATTCCACAACTTGCCAAGTTGCAAAAAAATGTTGATTTGGAAACAAAATTTTCAAAGTACGAAATTTGGATGATATCACTTCTTTTACTTTTCGCGAGTAACCTCCATTAAGTGGCAGAATCTAAGTACGAGGAGCTTGTTTTAGTATTGGCGTATTTGCCTCCTTATTTAACAAATCAATGTTTAATTCGCCATAAATAATGTAATTTTAAAATTCCTCATATTTAATAAATTTCTCGGATTCTTTACTTGCGTTCGGCTAAGCCAATGCAGCTGAGTTATAGAATCAACCACTTTAGACAAAGGAGACGAAATTGCTATTATTTATTGCAAAAACAGCGTTCCTATTGCCTTAAACGTAATTTAGACCACTCTACTAAGCAGCGTGTGAGCCCAGAAACAGGATACCTACTAAAAATTTGTCCGAATTTTAACTCCATGAAGATGAAATAACTTGCTGTTCCCAATCCCTTTTCGTTTTTTGTCTAATTTGAGCTGCAAAAAATAATTATGAAAAATATTTATTCAAAAGACAAGATTTTTACTTAATAGGCTGAATTAAGTGATGACCTGTTTAGGGGAGGTATATGGAGTCTTGAAGCAAACTTTGACCTTAGATGTTATAATGGCGTGTGTATCTGTAGACAAGCAGTGGTATCTGCACAGCAAGTACAATATTAAGAGTGTACCTTTAAAAACGAAATATAGGGTGTTTTACAAGTATCTTACACAAGGAGTAAGCATTTGTAGAATGGGTCTATGAACAGATATGACAGCAAATATTTAAGAATGCGGATAGAAGGCGGGCGATTAAGAGGCAAAAGACTGCATGACAGGATTTACTTCAAAGTTTATGAGCTAGCTCAGAATAGGATTTTCGTCCTAAAAGATGCTTCATTCCTTTAAATTTTTAAAAACGACAAGCTAGTGTGTCTAGAATGCCGATGAGGTACAAGTTGGGATTTAATGGAGACAGCTGAAAAATAGGATCTTAAGGCGTAAAAGTCATATTTGTTCTATAGGTGCTCTGTTTTTCTTTAGCAAACTCAACTTATGTTGTTACAACATATTTTAGCTTTATTTAAAGTGTTGTGGCTTTCAAACAAGAAATCCCTAAGAGTAATGTCTACTCTGCCTCACTTTTGCTGTTTTTGCCTCTGACATCCCAATGGCAGCGTGGATACTTCACATTCCCTTCTTCACATGCAAACTTGAGGGCGAAAAACAAGTTCACGGCACTGCGGACCATTTACATGCAGAAAAAATGTTTTCAAGCAGTTATCTAGCCTCGGTGTGACAGAGGAATTTTAGTTTTACTGCTATCAGTCACAAGTCTGTCCAAGATATAACTTTGTTTAACATGATCATATTTCTTCCTGCCACAAAGGTTTACATCCACCAAGAAAAGATTTAAATAAGGAGAAAATTTAGTTAAAGCTTCCGTATATCCTTTTGTATGTACCTCCTTCACCACTTGAGAAGATTGGCTAGAAGTTGCGCATGCAGTGTAAGATTATAAAACACAACCAAGAAAGCGCCTTTGGGTAAACTTGTTTTCGTAAGCACTTATTTAAAACGTTAAAGCTTGGCAAAATAAACCATCGGATTATCGTCTTTTATTTATTTAAGCAAGTTATCTAGCAAGAAGCGATAAACAACTCTGAAAATACACCTCGTAAATCACTCAGAAAATTTCGAGAGCAATAACCCCCCTAACATACTCCCCTTAGTTTACTATTCTACAGTTCATGCACTTTTTTAAAATGCAAGGCTCATTATTCCCTTACAAATCGGTTAAATGAGCCAACCGCAGGGAGGCTGATTGAAGCAGAGGTCCCCGTACCTCATCTTGTTGGAATCGTGGCATCCAATGATCAAGAATTTTTCAATTCCTGATGTTTCTGTGGCTAAACTATTCCGAGTATGTGGTCGTAATGACTGATTTCTTTCGATATTTTGATTAAAGCGTTTGAATGAACCAAAAAATAACAAAACCGACAGTTTACAACCTTGGTTAGTTCTTCAAATACACACTACTTTTAAAAGCTAGTTATGAAAGTAAGTGAATTTTACTAGCATTGAAATCAATTTTAGCTATCTCTAAGAGGAAAATTGGGCTGTTTTCATTGATTGGGGAAAAGGTTGTGGGAAGGTAAATGGGGAATGGTGGGAGCATTGGAGTGGATTCACTAACCGGGTGGCGAATAATTAGCCATTTATAGAATGAGGATCAGTTGTGTGTGTCTGATCGTTTGAAGTTACCAGCTGTGAACGAAAACAAGAGCCCAAGCAAAAAATAAACTGAGCGAAAGTGGAACTCAAGCGTCATTTTATCTTTATTCACATAAGCAAATTCACAACCAGATGAACTCACTAGCAGCTGGAATAAAAGGTAGTTGATTGGTTTAAAAAATGGATTTAAGATGTAAAAATCCCATTATATTGGGGCTGAAGTAACTAAATCTATCTAATGAAGAATTCTTCCTTTAAATAATCACTATCCACGAGCTTGGTATGCATTTATATCTTTACGGAACCACCACGAGAGATGGTAGGTGGATCATGTCCACCGCTAAGCAGAGAAGATAAAGTACCTTTTAAACCTCATGTGCATCGGAGGGTTTAGTAATCTGCATTGGCATGCTTTCCTGTAATAAATGGAATTAATCAACCCCGAAAAAATAGGCATAATAAAAACTCTGTAATAATGCATACTGATTAATACATCCAATGAACTGCCTCCTTCTGCCAAGACCGCTCCATAAGTGATCGAGGCCTCGACCAAATTCCCCCTCTGCGGTCCAATTGCTACCCCCAAGAAGAAGGTTTCTTCCAAATAGTGCTGTGCCGCCATAGCCCTCGGAAGCAGACTCCAACACACCTGCCACCTCTGCCTCAAAGGCCGGTCGAAATTCATTGCTGTCAATGGCCACGAAGTATTTAATTGTGGTATAACCCGCTGCAATGATCGCCGCTTCATGCCGTCCAGGAATTGTGATTTTTCCAGCACCCACTCGAAGGAGATTGGATTTTTCTGCACTAATCTCCAGTGACTGCCTCTGAGTTACCAACCAGGGAATTCCACCTCGAAGTTCTACGCCCAAGAGTGGAGCGGAAAGCTGTCCAAGTCGGTGAAATAGAAGGAGGAGAAGAGCGTTTTCTGAGTGAGAATCGAAGTCTATTTCAATTTGCTGCCAGTCATGGATGTGATTTGCCTGCATCGGTAGCTTGTTGAACAGTGGTGGAGGACTCGACTTTGTCAGGGGCATAGGAAGACGAAGAAGGAGGTAAATTTGTCGAAGTGAGACTGGAGAGAATGGAACTGATTTAGTTACGCATTTGGTTGGGGGGGTACCCGCAATTTCAAATCCGTGGAGGGAGTTCTCAGCAAACCGTAGAATGTTGAGGGTCGTGTCATCAACTTGCAGAATAGCCTAATATTTAACATACTTTTGGATGAGCAGGTCTTTTATGACATGAATCGGTAATTAATGTGTATTTTCGTCATCTATAATATTCTTTCACATTTTACTTTTTTGACAATAAGAAGTTGTTCAAGTTATTGAACATTAAATACAGAAAAAGAAGTAAATTCTTCACCTATTTTAAACCAAATGACCACTTTGAGAAGAAAACTTTGACAGGATTCCGGCATACTTGCTAGTATGAAGGTGGGTTGAGTAAAAGCACAGCAGAGGCACAAAATAGCTTTTCTGCTTTTTCCTACCCGCTTTACGTTTATTCGCAGAACAAGCCAATGGGCTGTAGGGACGGTGTTAACATACCGCCTGGTAGTTGGTGAGTGTACAACCCACCTTGATTTATCAGCGGAAGTAGTGTACAAACCTGGCATGCAACACAAGTGACGTCACATTGTGGTCACTTGTCATTTTGTCCTATTCAATACAGGGTAAAACTAAGCCAAAATTTCATTTTGAGAAAGACTTAGTCTATGAAGGTCTGTGTGACACTTAACATTCGGCTATTTCTATGCCCTCCATACCTACTCTCACCTGTCTTTAAAATCTGTCCATTCATAAGAGTGTAGAAGTTTTGAGAGCCAGAAATCGCAAGCCAAAGAAGTTTGTGCAAGATGAAAAATTAAGAAGTATTTAATCCAAAATATGCGTCTTGATGTAGAGCTATGTCTTCATGTGACCACACGCGTTGGACATGCCATCAAAAAACATGAAGAGTCCTGGTTAAGAATGACCAGAGACGAAAAAAGGTCCGGGAAAAGAGAATACGTCTGCCGACATGCAGTGATTTTAAAATAAGGTTAAAAGTCAAAAAATGAGAAATGGATTGCTAATGTAAAAGTGTACAAGGTACTAAGTAAACTCACTTGTCGAATTTGACCCTTGAATCCTTTCTGATCGGCGGGTTTATCGGGGAAGGATCCCAGAACAACATGATGAATTTCGAGAAAACCTGGTCGAATTTTATCAAAACTAAACTGTTGAAAAAAGACTGTGTTTTCATCGATGCTGACGCGGATCTACAATGCAGTAAGTGGAAGTGGACAAATGGTTACAACCCATTAAGATGTACATAAATCAAGTGAACCTCATGCTATTGCAATTAAAGAAGGCACTTATGGAAAGAAAGTTGGCCTGCCTTTAAGGCAAAAGTAGTAAAATTAAAGATTTTCATGGCCTAAGCAATTTTTGGGATCGTTTGAACTACATACTAAACTGCACTTGGGTTGCAATTTCTACCTACCCACTGTTGCTGCTGCTTTGGCAAAGATAAATTTGGCTTTGCGGTAGACGTAAGATATTATGCTGCACTTTTTCGAGGTTTCATTTGCGAATGTGCTAATTTAGTCCTTCAAAGGTGTAGGCGCTGAAGTGAATTCATGATTCTCGCATAAAATCCTTAAAATACCTACACAATTACACTAGCAGTGGGTGAAAACATGATTACACTACTAGCTTGGAGCATTGAATTACTACAAATCAAAAATTTACTGATTCAGTACCCTAAACCAAATTGTGGTACTTTAGTTTTTTGTTCAACTCTGGTCTTGGTAGCAAGTAGTTTAGGGCTCCGCCATTGCCACTTTGCTTGGCTATCCGACCTCTGGACCACGCGAGTATCCCTCCACTCCCTCTGTAGGTCTACAGGATATAATCTGCCTCAGTATTATGCCCTCTTTCAACTTCAGAAAAGTCTCCAGGTGTTGTATTAGTGGCAGCGAAATGAAAACGCAATCATAAAAAACCTTTATTCTGGTCTCTATTGCTGAATGCTAAATGTTGATGCGTCGAAAGTACGGGATCTTCGGCGGACGGAAGGATTTGTGGCAACTCCTAACGAAAGAGTTGGAGGGCTATTGTTACAGTCAGGAGACCATGCCGCCCAGTGGAAGTAATAAGATCGTACCATAAGTTTCCACGCCATCAAAACCATGATTTAAAGAAACAAATTGAGCAGTACATAATACTCTTGGTTTTGATCTTCTAGGATTCATCCTTTACTCGGTATATACTATTTAACAGAGTTCAACGACACCTATTTTAAGCTGTCTACCTTAGTATTCATCTCTTCGAAGTGGTCGTACTTAAGCGACCCGAGTAAAGCAAATGGTTTTCCATTTGGCCTAAAGCATTATAAATGGCCTTTTAGAAGTCGTTAATAAAGGAGGAGAAATTCTACTAAAATATTTTCGTTTTAGTAATTATAGTGTTAAAAAGGTTCATGGCAGGGCAGAAACTATTGGTTAGGGTCACTTCATTAGTATTTAATTCCTGAAGAGTTCAAAATGGATAATATGAGCTCATACAACCAGTTGTCATTGTTAAAAACACAGGTCTACAAGTGTTAAACAACTACTTCTTCTTCGGCTACTAAAGTTACACTTTCTTCTACAAAGTGTCGATATCGGTTAGGCCGTTAGATGGATGAGTAAATAGCACTGGTAAAAGCAGCATTCTACAATGCCTTTCAATGACAAATAAATAAAGTATCTGGAACCTCAGAGTTGTATCTTGGCAAGTGACCGAGACCTTGCTAGACTGCTTTGTCGGAGCAGGAGTTGCTGAACAGATTTGTTCTATTATCTAATCGGTTAACAATCAAATTGACGCTTTCTATACAAAAAAGCTTAAAGTTACCTTACATAAACTACAGGAGAAGCCCTATTAAGAATGTCAAATGGCAAAAGAAGCCTTGGGAACAAATCGCCTGCCTTTATGACATAAACATCTATATTGACGGTGATTAAGCATAAAAGCCCATAAGAATGAAGAGGCACGATGTGACCGTCTAGTGCAAGCAGCTGTTCACGTCTGCAAATTTAAACCGACAAAGCGCAGCACCGTGGTCTCATTAAAAAGGCGAAAAATATTTTTTACCTCATGGTCTGTTGTGTAAGATGGCGTAATGATTCAGAATTGCGCCTCCAAAAGGTCGTGTCACATTAAGTTCTTGGGCAATTTAAAGTGGCACTAATGAGCGACTTGCCCTCCCAAATTGTACGCATTAAGAAACAACTGTCCGGCATCTGTGATTTGATAATGAAATAGTTAATAAGTAACATTCGTGCTTATTTTTCATGTCGTAGAGGATGAAAGTATTCTTCCTCTAAACTTGTGCCCCATCCAACAATTGGCGGCTTCTCGAGGAATGTTTTATAACCATGTGAGGTATTTAAGAACATCGTGGGAGTTACGACATTGCCTGCCAAGGCGACTTGTGGGAAAGCGTTCACCATATGCAGTTGATTATATACTTGTACTATACAGTCTAGAGGTGTGCCATTATATTAGGAGGGCAGTTTTTTTTCTATTTCGCACCACTTTCCCTGTCGCATTGCAAATCCCCACGTCTTTTACAATCATAAAGTGTGATTTGAGCCTACCTGTATTATGAACCAAGTTTGACTGGATTGAAGAGATATCGCAGAAGCCGGCTTCTTGGAAATCTTGCTGTGGAATGTTTAGAGCAGATATAATGATTGTCCGAAATCAGACGCTTTAAATGAACAGCTTAATTTAAATGAAGCACTCACAGGTTGATGAATTGTGATAAGGAGAAGAGACCCTCTGTCCCTGAAAGTCAATCATGCCGATAACATGTCTTCGCTAATTAGAGTAGGCAAAGATTGAAATAGGAAAAACAATCTTTGGGAGACTGAACCCACATTAACAGAAAATGTAAGGTCGCAAAAGCTATGAACTTCATTTCACATATATCAGTAGCAGACACTAGGCTTAACAATATATTGTTCTAACCATCTATCAGCTTGCGGTTCGGCCGACTCGTGATGAGAAGTAGTTGCCTCTATACCCTTCAAGCTCCAAAGGCTTCGGTGGATTTGTTTACTAGCTAAAAGCTCGAAGGTATGCAAGGGGTATGCCATATTTTCACAAGTAAAAGCAAGACCTCACATCCCAGTAAAAAACTGCCGTACTTAAACTATCTGTATTTAAACTGTTAAATTGCAAAATCGACGACTACTTCTGAAAACTCGATCAAATCAGGCGGATGATAAATTTTATAGGTTTACTTCTTTTGAGAGATAAAACCCTACTCCGTTCTGCCACTTACTGGAAATGAGGAGCGGAGGGCATAAAACGGAGTGTCCAAGCAGTGTTTCAAGCAGCAACTGTTAACCAGCCATAAGGAATGTATGATTAACGGTCAAGTTATACTGAGATGTTAGCACTTCGAGAGAAGTGGACCAGAACCTTATAACCAAGCAAGGATAGAAAATGTCGAACAGTTCAGATTGCACCGGATTGAGTAATGGCGCTGTTAATATAAGTTATGCATTAATTTTCTTGGTTTATTTTCTCCGACACTCTCCCTTTTATTTTCCTTGTTTATGTTTACTTCAGTGCCATCCTTTAAAAGATAATGAGGGACATTTTGGGGGTACGGGCTCAGAGAGAAGGGACAAAACTCCTGCAATTTGAGGCATCAAGTCCTAGTATAATTTCAAAAGACCCAAATGCAAATTAGTTGACTAAGTTCTTTCACGACTTAATTGTCCATGATGTTTTTAACTGTGAATTTATCCTCTTAGAGGCCTCATATCACTTCAGCAGACATAGTTAAGCAATTGTTCAAATATATTATTCTCTAGCAATTAAATGAAAATCCCTTTTTTACACCTCCTTCTCTGGGTTTAACCTTATGCGTTTATTAAAATGTAGCAACAAATGTTGATGGTTATCAAACCAATCTTCAGTTTTTAACTAACACTGTACAAATACGCATATTTTGTTTGACTTTTGTCTTAAAGATAAGAAAAAGTGTTTGGACACATTCGACTATTTTAGCCCACGAAAAAAGAGGTCTTGAACAAATTAAAAAGACAAAATATATGAGGCTGCATAATGAAGAGGTTGATTACTAAACTGACTAGGAATACCAACCAACCAGCAGATCGGTTATTATCGCATTACTTATCCATTGGGCTATTTAGTTACTCACGTAATGAAGGATTCGCTAAAACTAATATTTAATCTCTTTCTTTGTTTGCAAAAAATCTAACATATGAATAAATGATTATGATAAATCGTAGCAAATAATGGGTATTTTTAAGGTAATCAGCGGAACCGCTGACTCTCAAGTAAAATACATCAAATGTCCAATGAGGATGATCAGCAGAGTACCGTAGCCGAAGCCTGCCTTCATGAACAGCCTTGAATGACCTATGTCCAATCGACAGGCATCCAACATTAAAAATAGAGGACATAAGTATAATGAAACTGTCTTCTCATTATGAATTATCATTATTTAACTGTAATACCCTCCGTAAACATGTCCGAAAATTTTTGGACTGTCTAGGGGCAATAAAATCCCTTTAAATAACTATGCGTTCAAACAGGAGAAACACACATGCACCACCTTTAGCAAGAGGGATATTTAAACAGGAACTAAATTTAGGCATTTACATAAATGCAGAAAGGACCAAAAACATGGACTAGCTAAATGGACAAAGATGAAACAGTTGTGGATGATTTATGGTAAAAATTTACGCCTCAAGTAAGATTTTTGCTTAAAAGACAATCAACAAGTAAAAAAAAGTTGAAGTTGACGCGTTTTGACATCAATAGCAAACCTGGTCAGGACTGCGTTCCAATAAGAGATCGTGAAACTGGCCATCGTCTAGCCTCGACTCCAGTCCAGTAAACGCGTGGAGAGTCTCGCGCACGGACAGGTGACCTGCTCGTGCTGACTGGAACCATTTGAAAGCGGCGAGGGTGGCTGAGGTGGTGGGTGAGATTGCCTCGGCGGGCTGGTCGGAGGGAACTTCAGCAGGAAGACGAATTCGCAGATGCAGTAGACCCGCTTTCAATGAGAGCTCATAGTAGGAATCGTTGCAACCTAAAAACATGACAGCAAGTTTGAGCTATGACAATTGCCTAGCATGCAATAGGTAAGTAATTAGGAAATTTTCTAGCCTTTTAAAATACCCATAATCAGCATCCGAGTAAAAACGGGGCTTTCAATCAATCAGATGTTCGGAGAAACCTTATCGCGAATATCTTAGGATTCAAAGCTCAACTAGCTTATTGAATTTTCATCTGTAGTAAGATTTGGTCGGTGCGAACCCTTCATCATTGACTATCATGGTTCTGGTGCATTTCAGCCCACCATACCAAGTGATAAGCGATGCATAGTCTTCCTCAAAGTTGTTTAGGAAACGGATTCCCTCGTAAAGAATAGTGATTTAAATCATCCAGGAACTTTTGCACTACAGGAAAGTCCGTACCTACCAGGTATTTAGACTACATTCCACCTTCAACCATTATAAAATAGACGAAGGACCATTCAGACAGAAAAGACTGTGCTTTTGAAATACTATAAATGTGACGAAGTCTTAAGGCATTATTTTACTTCGGCTGAAAATTATAGCACGTTTTCCTGAGATAGTATGAAAAAATCTAATGCAATGACCTCAAATCTCTTTTATCACCCATCAATCCAGGCACAATCATCCATAAGTGACATGCCTGCAATAAGGGTACAAAAAGACCAGATGTAGGCATATTCTGTTAAAACTAAAGAAGCGGGTGACTCTATGGATTTACAATGGCCAACTTGGTAAAGAAGGACTAAAAGTTACACCGCACATTTGTTACAAGGCTTTGTTTTCTAAGGATGTCTTAAAAAGAGAGGTTGGAGTACAAAGTGCTTGTATCATTGAACATCTGTCATCATTTGTCACTTCCTGCAAAACGAGTTTTTCTTTAAAACATTTCTTCTAACAGAGATAGGGCTGTTTAAAAAACCTTGCTTTCATCAAAGGTTTTCATTAGAAGGACTGGTACCGCAATATACTTGGAAACAAATTGGGATTATGCTCAAGACACAATCAAGTACTGTCGAAGAATAAAGTATCTTTATTATTAAATGGAATGCACATTTATTCCTGCTCAGTGGAATACATCCATTCACGGGAGTATCCGTGAAGATAAAAATTGGGGAAGAACCAACTTTTGGAATATGATGGAGTTCAATTAGAGGAATAATAATATCTACCATTTGACCACATGAACTCTTTCATCCTCTCCTGAGCTTCAACGCTGACACCGATCTTTCCGATGTTAGAATTAAAGACCCTTCCTAGTCTTACAGGACACCAAATTCCACGCACATATGCCTGATATAGTGTTCAGGGATAACTCAGAGCCTAAGGATTTGTCGAGAACCATACACAAAGCACTGCTTCAGTTTTGTTTCATCAGAGTCCAATAGACAGTAAAAATTTCCAGTAATTTGAGAGAGGATTCAGGAGTGTTCTATATCCACCCTCTTATAAAGTGTGGCGCGAAATGCCGGCCAAAAAACAGCACAGCTTCTAATTATGCCAATTTTTTAAGGTCTAAAACCTTTTATCTTTTCAACCCCAACAATTGTGTTTAAATTTTTGAGAACTGTGGCAATTAATCAAGTCCGGAACGTCTGCGGAATCCAAATGCAAAGTCCTAGTTCAAAAAAAGGTTTTTCTCCAATTCTTAGGATAAAATTAAAAAATTACTTTTCATTCCATATAGCAAAAAGCATGCACAAACGTTAACCAACAAAGCTGTGGAAATAACAACTTTTTACATTTTAATCCTAGCAAATGAAAAATTCAGCAAACGCGCCTTCCTATTTGTGCTCGAAGTTCAAAGGTCGCTGTACTCCCACACTACAATTCGCCCCCACTTATGTACTCACTGACAATAGGTCGATGGGCGTTAAAAGTTGGACAAGACTGTCTGTTCCTTTACAAAGCAATAAACCAGTGGCAACTATTTCATTGTGTGAATGATAACATCCTTTCTGCACCAATTCTGAAACCTGTTCTGTAGAATCGTACTTACTGTCACTGGCTGGTAAAATTTGTTTCGCCAATTTATTTTAATTTTTTGTAAATTTTACCACATGCGATGCCTTTTCAGACAAGTAAGTGAAATTTTTGTGAGGCAGGTTCATTTTTAAAAGCAGGTTAAAATAAAAAGAAATCCACCTTAATTTGCAAATTGTGGCGCAGGCAAAGAGCCAGAGCGTAGTGTTTGTTTTTATGCTTGCATTGGATGATTAAAAGCGCTGATTTAATCTATTCAGCTCCTTGTAAGAATTTAACCAATTTGTGCATTAACGTCTGCCAATGTTTTGAAATTAGGTTTGACAACAACTAGTGACTCATCGGGTCTTGACAAAAAAACAAACCCTAATTTTTTGTCTTGGCATCAACTTCAAAGTTCCTACGGGTAAGCAGATATAAGCGATCGCTTAGCCATAGCCTGATTTCCAGGAAGTGAAATATATATATTTTAAGCTTGCAGTACCGGTAAAAAATAGCCGGGCGTTGGCCTGACTTGTCCTGAATTGGAGGGAAATTTGTTCGCTGGCACTGAACAAAGGTCCATTGGGGAAGTGGTTTTCGATCCAACTTTCCCCTTCAAAGTGGAGACAATTCTTTCCTGAAACAGATTTTAACAAACCTACTTCTAAAATGAATTCACTAAATGGGACCTGTCAATTGCCAAACGTGCCAACTGTCAAATGTCGCCATCCTAATCACAACAGGGAGGGCTAGTTTTGAAGTGATGTCAGATTTTATTCATTAACGAGGCAAAGGAAGGCAAATACATAAGGGAGTGACTCATAGTTATGACGTGAACATAAGTGGACAAAACTCCTTTTCTTTTATTTTTTTATAAGTTGTCAGTAAAGCGTCAGTGGCGGCAATAAGACGCCCCGATTTTGGGCCCATTCAAACTCCTTCTGTTTGGCAAGGTGACAGGCAAATGAGAATAGAGGCTTTTTCTGTAGAGGGGTGCTGTAGTTTAAGATTTAAAAGGGTATTGTAGACTAAAATTTCCATTTTAAGATGGACATTAATAGTGCAATGTAGTAATATGGGTCACTTTCTTAATTGATAAAAGCAAATTCTTATATCATATGACATACCTTGCCTTCCTCTTAAGTAGGTGCTTTCTACTTCGTAAAATATGGATGAAAAGTATTTCTTGCTAAAAACTTCCAAGCAGTTGCTAATAATAAATATAAAAGACCTAGTATTAAATAAAACCATAACTAATGCTTAAAATGCTTAAGTTAAAGGCATAAAAAGTAAAGATTGCAAAAGAACTTTAATGAATAAATTCAATGAAGTGCGCAAGAACACCTACCGGCATCTTTGGGCATAATTTCACTCCTCGTGAGTATAATCCAAACGCAGTAAATAAACAAGGATTTAGCATATCTGAGCATTACGAGAGTATCAGTTCTGTAATCTGATCATAATAATTGCAATTCAAAGTTTAATTTGCGGTGGCAGTTGCATTTAAAAATTTTTGTGGCATTAATGAAGTCACTTGCATTTGTACGCCCATGCTAAACCGGTCCGCCGTTTTGATTGGCTACTGCCTGTGACTGGGTTCCAAGTTAATTGGCAAGGACAATTCTGACGCGGTATTAGTTGACCAAAGGCAAATTTTTAGGTGTTTTTCGTCCCCCACCCCCCCCCCCAGCCGGGCTTGTCAGGGACTATTGCCATTCTGGCGTTTGTTTTGATAGAAAAGGCGGTGTTGTTAACTCCGCCGTATTATACCCAAGTCAGCCTAGATGATTTGTGTATTTAATTTGCAATTTACTGCCTTTGTACTAGAAAGTCCCAATTTCTCCCTTAGAGGTTTCAAAAGCCTTAATCCCTCTTTGTACGATGAAAACAATTACGTAAAGCACTTATCAAAGCCAAAGACTATCAAATTAACAAACTTTTTGTTTATTTTGAATAGTTCACCTAAAAGGAAAAAATGGACTAAAAATAAGCAGATTGATTGAGTTACTTCCTCTTAGCGCAAACCGAACGGTAAATTGTAAAATCAAATGCTTTTAAATCTGGTGGCTACAATTTAGGAAATTGTGTGGAGTCTAAGACTTCTCTGAACCCGAAAGTAGACAAATTACCAGGGCCAATGTGTTTTGCCAAAAGGTAGAAGAGCTGGAGACTACTGGTATGGCCAGAAGGTCATGCTTCGCAGCTGAAGTACAAAAGAGAAACCCAAAGTACCCGAGAAATCAAAACGGGAAGTTGAACTAGCAAAGTACTACACTTGATCTTTTAAACATTGACTAGAGAAAAATTCGATCAGAGTTCTTTGATATTTTAGTCCACTCTATAATATATCAGTACAAATATCTAGTAGTCTAACTAAATAAAGTTGCATAATATCTCCTTCACGATGGAATTTTCCAAAAGGCGTTACCCCCTTAGCATGTGCGAGTTACCATGTAACCGTAATTGACTGCAAAAGTCGCAGCACATGACCGCTTTACAAAAATGGATGGGATGTTAAGGCACAGGCAGAGAGAAGGAACATAAATAGTACAAAATGACGGGAATAAAGTTTTCTCTTCTTTTACCTTCCAATGTGACTTTCAGTATCTTTGCGTAGTCTTTGATAAATAAGAATCCCGCTGGCGAACTATAAAGTGAATGCTCACGCGCCTTTCGTCTTTTGTGCTCTGATTCTTTAACAAAGTAGGTAAAGCGTCTAAGTTTCTATGAAAAATTAATTTCTTTAATGCTGAAGAAGTGCATTTATTAACTTATAAAATGGTAAACTAGGGCTAATGATTTCAAAAGTTTTGAAGCGTTTGGTTGTTTTTAATTTTGCAAACGCAACTGAATGGGACTTTATTTATGGGTTTTAATGGGCTTTTAACCCAAATTTATTTTTTTGGGCTAGTAAGTGTTTTGAGGAATAAACTAACGGAGGAAGAAGAAAGGATATGATTTCTTCAAGGCAAATGTGGTATCCATTGTGGTGACACACGTATCAGAAACGTCGGCAAATGTGTAAAAAAGGGTAATCTGTGACGTCCATAATAATCGGC